CGATATCAATTGCTCTATCTCCCAAGGTGATGTTGATAGTGCGATCTCTAGGATTGCATTTTATCTACTTCCTCGATGACCCTTTTGCTATTTAGTTCTTCTTTCTACATCATATATATTATTATTTTTTTTTCACTTGGCTTCACAGATGTAGCGTGGTTTGTAGAGACGATCGGATTAGATTGTCCTGTTCGTTGTTTTCTATCGCGTGTACGTTTTAATCCATATATTAAATATATATATATTATATATAGATAAAGGATGAGGCTGAGTCTCTCAGGGCATGCTATTAGGTACATAACCATAATTGCTTATGATGCCGCCTTATTATCGTTATTAATTTTTAATTATGATATTTATCATTATCAATCTTTTATTATTTATCATTATCGATTATTGGCTTTGCATTATTTCACTCATTCTGTTTATTCAGTCAATTCTATTCATATTATTTATGTATCTACTCGGACTCTACTCTATGCGTAGTCATAGCGAGATATAGAGTTTCTAGAGAGAGAGGTGTACTCTCTCACGATATATTGTTATAAGGAGTGTTTATATATATTATTATTGATCAGTACAGCATATATTCTCACTGAGATTATTAATGCTGGTGGTTCTGTTGACTATGGATATATATATATAGGTATGATAGTGTTCGTGTAGCGCGACTTATATTCGCCTAGACGTTCGTACATTCTGTGATATAGTAATTAGCTCTCATATAGTATACGGTGTCACTCGTAGATTACGACGACTAGCGATTATATTAAGATCTTAGTTCGTTCTATTGAGACTTCGATTCTTTGGTTAAGAAAAGTTTAGTGGTTAAAGTAGTAAGCTTTGGCACTCGTTATTCATGAGATATCTTATAATACACTACATAAAACAAGAACATGTTGTACCAGAGCTCGAGGAGAGTATAGAAAACAGATAACCATGGCTGAGTCGTGTAAGTTAAGGGAGTTAAGTATAGAATGTAGTGTGGCATGTGCTCTGGAGGATTGTTATCGAGGGAAACATGTCCTCCTTAAACGAGATGGGGAGTGATTATGCCACTCGCTTCACTGCAGTCGTACTCTAGAGGGAGCGACTGTCGCAACCAAGGGACATGTACGACGGTGAGACACACAATGACATACAGAGAAGTGAAGGCTCTCAGGAAGCAAGATGAGACGTTGGTTACTGAGTTGGACAATAATTTGAAGTAAGTTCGGATCGGAGTCTCGGCTGATAGTAATCTGTAGTGAGAGACGAAACATATCGGCGTAGCAGAGCGAGCGCGATAGATGGTATACCTCACTCTCGTGGTACTAGTATTAGGTAAAGCTTCACAATAATGCAGTCGTGAGAGGACAGGTGGATGAAAAAAGGCGTTCACTCATATAGCGTAGCTCGATAGCGCACGTTCACATAGCTCGCGGTGATGGGCTCGCTAGATCGCTCGCGCGCAATAAAGGTATAGAGATGTTGTATAGATTGGTAAGAGCGTCTAGTGTGTCATATGTAACAGAGATGTGAGGAGAGCGCACCGGAGGCATTATGGATATGATATACTCGCAACGCTCGCACTCGTAGTTCGATCAGTAGAGATAATGACTATCTGTCACGAGATATATGTCGTGATGCGAATAGATCGTAGAGAAGTAAGTACAGCACACACGATTATAGGTGACTCATTGACGAGAGACGCAGATGTATGTAAGAAGGAGCACTACCGGCGATGAATAGAGATATTGGATAGAAACGATATATAGACGCGCACGCAGGATGTATATCACGTGATAACGTAGATAGATCGAATTGCGAGAATAAGAGAGAGAGTAGAAGCAGAAGATTGCAGAAGAAGCAGAAGATGATTGTAGCCTAGAAGAAAGAACAAAAGAAGAAGAAGAAAGAAGAAGAAGAAGAAGAAGAAGTATAGTTCAGTAGAAGAAAAAGAGAGAGAAGAAGAAGAAGCAGAAGAAGAAGAAGAAGAAGAAGAGAAGAAGAAGAAGAAAGAAGAAGAAGAAGAAGAGAGAGAAGAAGAAGAGAAGAAGAAGAAGAAAGAGAAAGAAGCAGAAGAAGGAGAGCAGAAGAAGCAGAAGAAGAAAAAGAAAAGAAGAAGAAGCGAGCAAGCAAGAAGAAGAAGAAGCAGAAGAGAAAGAAGAAAGAAGAAAGAAAGAAACGTTACGTAAATGTATGCATTTCCAACATCATGGGATTAATTATTTATAGGTATCCAAAGTCCAAAAGCCAATCGTGATAGATCTCGCTTGCCTGAGGCTCGTCTAGAATCTATGCAGTGTAGGATACATTTGAAAGGAAATTCGATTGACTGTATATATGTTCCTCAAATATAGTTGGTTATATAATTCAGATATTTAGATATAGTCTTTCTCGCTTTCTATCTGTGTGTTGTCTGTCTGTCTGTCTCTTTTTCTCTCTCTGACTTTTTCTTGCTCTTCTTCTTTCTCTCTTTCTTCACTCACTCATTCGCTTTCTCTCTTTTTCTCTCATTCCTCTCCTCTCTTCTCTCTTTCTCTCTGTCTCTTCTCTTCTTTTTTTCTCTATATTCTCTCTTTCTTTTCTTTTTCTCTCTCATATCTCACTCTCTCTTTTTCTCTTTATCTCACTTTCTCTCTATGTATCTATCTGTTCTCTCTCTCTCTTCTCTCTCTACGCATTTATCTATAATGACCACGGAACTAAGTCTTTAAAAGTAGTATGTCTAACTCCTTGAACTAAGTTTATTTAAAGTTATTTGGTTTGCCTGATGAAATTATTTGTGAAATATATTGATCGGGCAGATGACTGATTTCCTCCTTCATACTTTATGAATATCATATCTACTTTATTTCTCGTTTCCCCCCTGATTTCAGTGTTCAGAATAACTGACTAAAGTGAAAGTTTTTTGTTTTTTCTTCATCCCATCTGTCCACTTGGATATTTTCATACGGTCATCACAGCGCCTCATGTTAGCTCTGCCAGGACATCTGCTCAGTGATTTATTGAAAGCCAGAAGTTCTCTGAATTTCTTGTATCTTTTGGGATGGCTTATGCTGGTCTCCCTTTTGGTCTTAATAATCTTGGTAGTTTCATTGCAGGGATGTAGTGTGTACTGTGTCCTTGTTATACATTTCATTTTGTTATTTCTAATATCTATAAGGGCGAATACGGGCGTAAAGGTCAATGTAGAATAGTATTTTCGTTCGTTTCAATATAGAAATGGAGGGAACGTTTTGATGAAGGTTTCTGTGTGTTTTCTGTAGGCTTACGAGCGTGTTTCTTCACGAGTGGTGACGATAGAAGATTTTTTGGGGCTCGTGAAGCCTTGTTTGTTCTCTTCTTAACTAAATCGGTGAAGTAGTTTAAGGCGCGCGAGCCATCTTAACAAAGACTGACAAATCCGGGCTTTCTGTTCTTAATCTGAAGGGGAAGCAGGTTGACACGACATTATCAATCACCCCCGGATACCCTGTGATGTATGATGCATTGTAAAGCCTGTCATTTATCTCCTAACAAAATCTGTGTTGATTTCTCGTATTTTCCGGCATGTGTAGTGCTCAGAGGAGGAAAACAGCGCCCCAGCCTTTGTACACATATGGTGGGTCGCTTCTGGGGAACAGGTTTATGGGCCGTGTGAGGTGACAGGAATACAAAGAAGGATAGGGAGAGGTACTGGCTGGGGTTTGAACAATACGGATGGAGTGGTGAGGAGAGAAGAGTGATAACAGTTGCCATATCAGCTGGATTTCTCGTTTTTAACACTGGCCAGTTTGAATAGGGAGAACTAGTGTGGGTTTGGCAATACAGATGTGGTGAGGGGAGGAGAGTGAAAACAGTTGCCATATCAGCTGGATTTCTCGTTTTGTTGATAAAACTGGCCCAGTTTGAATAGGGAGAACTAGTGTGGGTTTGGCAATACAGATGTGGTGAGGGAGAAGAGTGATAGCAGTTGCCATATCAGCTGTTTTCTAGTTTTTGTATATAACATTGCCCCAGTGTGGATAGGGAGATATACTAGCTTCGGTTTTGGCAATACAGATATAGTTTTGATGGTTGGAGAGTGATGGTAGTTGCCATATCAGCTGGATTTCTCGTTTTATATATAACATTGGCCCAGTGTGGACTGGTGGGATGTGAGTCAGGTGGTCGGGTTATTGCAAGGACTAGTAATAATGGTATGTGAGTAACAATTTAAAAACTTGAAATACCATGAGAAAAAATATTCTTTGCAATGATAAGTACGAAAGCATGATTTGTGTACAGTTCTACCTTTAGTCTAAATGAATTTTCTAGCCACTTTCTCTTTCTTCTCAGTAAAGGGATTTTACATTCCGTTACCTTTTTCGTTTTCTTTAATGTTTAAAAAGATTACTATTTCCTACATTGTTTACAGCCTTGGTAAAGGAAACTAAGGATGTGTGGTCGACAAGCAAAGAAAATATATAGTAAATAAGAACAGCTTTTAGGGTTTCAGTCACTCCCAGATCTTCTAGTAAGACTTCTAGTATGCTCATTTCTTTTCCTGTCACTCTCCAAGGTGTTCATATCAGGAATTCACGATGATATGTAAAGGTTAATCATGGTATAACTGGAAAAAAGTTTTACAAATTACACTGCTATGAAGGTTAAATGGGTTGTAAACTCCGCAGACTTTTTCAGGTTGAATATTCGCAGGTTTATTCATTTTTATTTATTTTCTTTAAGTTTCCTCCTTTCTTTGTAAATGTGTATTTGTGTGTGTTGCATGTTATGTGTGTGTGTGTGCATGTGTATGTGTGTGTGTGTATGTGTATATGTGTGTGTGTGTGTGTATGTGTTAGTGCATCGTTGTATTTTGTACATGCGGGTGTACATGAGTTGAAACTATTGCCTGCCTGCCTATATATTTTTTCTCTCCACACCAAACAGGATTACAAAGACCAACTCATCTCTTATCTCTCCCAGTGTTCGCTTATCTATCGTTCAAATGCAATTAGTTGATAAGCATTCATTCACACAATGTAGAGGCTCGT